TACTTTACCCTGAAGGAATTGCAGGACTTAGCCACCATGGACCAGGACAAGCAGGGTCAGTATATACGGGACTGTATTTTGGGAAAGCTGAACAAGAGGCAAATGGAAACTAAACTTGGATGGAGAAGAGTTTATCAGTTTGGATCGCTGCCCAGAGAAAGAGGACTTAACATCCTGGCAAGCACCTTGGGAGGAATTGTTATCATGCTTCTAGGACAATTCTTTGAAGCTTGAAGAAAAGTGGTAGTTCATGCTAAGAGAAGCAGAGTTGCCAGAATTCCCATGGCATGTGGTGGAAGCAAAAATCAAAAAGCTCAAAGGAATGAGTATGCTAGAATGTCCATATCATTGAAGGCTGGAAACTCCACCAGATTTCAAAGTTCTTATTCAGATCCTGCATTTATTAAAACGACAAGCAATTTTCTGGTGAGAGGGGCACCAGCCTCCCTGAGAAACTCAGGGGTAGCTCTCCTCTGTTGATCATAGTTGATAATAAAAGATGCTGTTACGGAATTGAGTTCACAGATAGCAATTGGGATCATAAAATCCGCACATGGAGGCCAGATGGCGTCACTTAACTATCAAAATGGTAAAATTATTATAATGAATGGTAAGACTGGAATGGCAGCCGGTGTTTTTTGACTCAGAGGGAGTTTTAAAGATGGTTAATAGAGTAGGGCTTCCATCATGGGGAAAGATAAAAATCAATCAACAAAGCATGCTTAATCTATACAATGAAGAGAAATTAAGACTGGATGAGAAAAGGCTGAGAGCAGAACTCTCAATAAAACTCACAGTCACTTACCCAATTTCCTGACTTGGGCTTGTTAATCAATCTTGTTTACATGTTTATCTACTGACCAAAGGTGAGAGGCCGGGTTGCCAGAAGGAAGGATCCCACATTATGGTGAAATTATGTGAAAATGACTCCTTCCACCTTACCCCTCTTCTAGTCCTTCCCCAATGAGACCTATGGTCATTCACTTGGGAAACTATACACTTAGGAAAGGGAATGCCCAAACATTTTAAGGACTTTTGGACATGATCATGGTTGATATCCATGAACCCAAAATATCGCAGCCGCTAGTTAGAGTGCAGCAATATAGGAGCCAAATAAATGGATTAAGTAAATGGACTCTTTGCCCATGTCTAGCATACAGTGAGTCCACTGAGCACATGGACCTATCTGGTGGTCATTTTCTCAGTTTTCCAAGTTAATATTAGTGCAATACCACATCATTCCTTGGCCTATGTTGTGGGAGTTATCAAAGTGGAAAAGGCCAACAGGGAGCCTCTGAAATTACACCAGCCAAGATAATAAATAAAAAACAATATAGAGAAAGCATAGATATTAGTGTTTTTTTTATTCTCTTCATATTTTCATTTAATTTACCATATTTACCCTACAAAAACTCCTAGAGAGAAAACAATAGACTACTGAAACTCAAGAAAGTAATAAGCACAATTACAGCTGCTATACCACATACCAAGTCTTTACAAAAGCAGAGCAACATGATCTCAGGTACCTTGTTTGAGGTGACTGGTATAATGAATACGTTCGTTTCCAACCTATCAGAAAGGAGAATTAGAAAAATACCCACATTCGGGACCAGCAGTCGGAGTAATGGCTATGTCGCTGGACTCCTATGTAGTCGACTGCAGATGGAGTCCCAGACCCAGTGGCTTAAACTCATACCGGATGCATGGGCGTGCATGCCCAAGATCCCAAGAGGAGAATGGAGAAGAAGGGATTGCAGCGTGGCCATCCCCCCGGGAGTTATTTTTATTTTTCGCTTTCTGTCTTTCTGTCTTTCTCTGTCTTTCTGGCAAGTGTATGCTCCCTATAGCAAAAAACAAACAAACAAACAAACTCTCAAAAAAAAAAAGTTCTCACATTCAATTAGAATGAGTAATAGAAAATATTTATAGTTTTGCCCAGAGCTATGTTGTGTCTCCTGACCTATGTCATAATGTAGTCTTAAGAGACCTGAACTGTTTAGACATCCCACAAAGCATCACACTACCACATTGATGGTATGCTACAGATGGTACGAGCAAGGATTGGCAAATTTGGTGGGGCCTTGGTGAAGTAATGTATACTCCAGAATATGAAAGAAACTTTGTACACATTGTAAGGCTCTACCGCATGAGTGAAATTTAAGGATTCTGGGGACCAGGACATATTTTTTGTGTTTTGTTAAAGAAAGATTTGCTGGGGGCCAACAGATGGCAGATGATAAAGGTGCTGGACTTCCATACGGCTGACTAGTTGGAGTCCTAGACCTGGCAACTTCCTTTCTCTCTCTCTCTCTCTGCAGCAAATTTTTAAAAAATAATAATAAATAAAATAAAATTGATACAACAATTATTTTAAAAAGATTTGCCTAGTTTTTTTTAAAAAATGCCAGAAAGACATGGGGGAGAGAGGAGAAAGCACCCTCGCTGGTGCATGATCATGTGGTAATCTCTTTTCCTGGATTTCTCAGGCTTTGGGACAGGCATGTACTTGTTCTCAGCTGCTAAGGCGAGGTCTGGAACCACAGCTGGACATGTGGAATGCTGCTCCCTTAGTCACTAGGCTACAGAGCTAGCCCAGGATTTGCCTTTTTTAAAAAAATCATGTTTTCTTTGTAAATATTTATTATTTTACTTTTATATTTGGATCAATCATCCATCTGGAACTGATTTTTTGTGTCTGTGTTGGAAAGGGAGTCAGTCTTTATTTCTTTTGTAGTGTTAACCAATATCCCCAGAATTATTTATGGAAGGAGAAACAACTTTTTGTCACTGCTCTGTAGTAGCACCTTTGAAAATACAAATTGCCTTATGTGAGTGAATAATTTTTAGGTTTCTATTCTGACCAACTGGCCTATTTTCTATTCTTGTGCCAAAAGAACACTGAGTTGATAACTATATAATCGATCTTAATATTTGACAGTATAAGTATTCCCACTTTGTTCTTCAAAATAAGCTTAGCTATTCTTGGTGTTTCCATTTCCTTATATATTTTAGAATTTCCTTAACATTTACCTCTCAAAATATCTTCTGGGACATTACTGAAGTTACATTGAATATAGATATTGACTTTGGGGGAAATGACATCTAATAATCCATGAAGATGTTATTCTTATATTTATTTAGGACTTTAAAACTTTTTCTGTCCATGTTTTATGTCAATAATGTTTGTATCACAGCTCATTATAGATATTTTTCCTAAAGTATATAAAGATTTTTGGTGCCATTACAATGATCTGTTCTATATATGTCATTTTCTATTTTCTGAAATAAAGTTAGGAAATTAAATTTTACATCAAGATATTGCACCCAGTAACTTTATTAAATTCACTTATTAGTTTCCAGAGATTTTTACAAGAGATTTTCAACGCTTACAATCATGTCTTTTGTCAATAATGGTCAGTCTTTCCAATCTGTATGTCTTCCATTTCTTTCCTTCTTTATTGTTTTGACTAGAACATCCAATACTATGTTAAAAAATTAGTGCTGGGGCCAGCAAGTGGCATGGTGGTTAAGAGCACTGGTTAATCCCACATGGTTGACCATGGTTCAAGTCCTGGACCTAGCAGCTTACTTTCTCACTTTCTCTCTCTCTCTCTCTCTCTCTCTCTCTCTCTCTCACTCTGTCCCTCTCTGGTCAAATTAAAAAAATAAATAAAGTTAAATAAAAAAATTCTTTTAAAAAAATTAGTGGTAAGTGCAGATATAACTTCGTTTCATTACTAATGTGAAACATTTAATAATCTTTCTTGAGTGTAATACAAACTGCAGTTTTTTCATAGATATCCTTTACCAGATCAATGATGTCCCCTCTAACTTGTAAATAAATTAAGTTATAACATGTCCTCTCCCCTCTATTTGTACTTTGCAAATTTTTTCATGAATTTTCTCAAATTTTATCAAGTGCTTTTTCTGCAAGTATTAAAATAATCACACGGTTTTTTTTTCTCCTTATTTTTATTATTCTGGTAAATTTCATTGATTCTCCCTCCATGTTAACTCTCCCGTTTCTGAAATAAAGCCCACTTAGTCATGATTATTCTTTTCATACTACTACGTCACTCAATTTACTAATTTTTTTTGTTTAGGATATTTTTATCAATGTTGTTAACAGATATTGGTAAATCAACCTTTTATTTAAAAATTTATCTTTTCAATTTGACAGAGGGTGTATGCACATGCTAGAGAGAGACAGGGGGCATGGAGCAAGAATGCAACCCCCATGGGGTACAGTCATGCTACAACTTCTCCTCCATTTTCTCCTCCTTTTGGGATTTTTGGCATGGACTGAACCTTCTGTGGTTCCCAAATCTCTTCAGGGACTTGAATTGCCCAGTAGGTCATATGGAATCCAGTAGCCTAAACCACCAGGCCATAGGCTGGCCTTAAAGCAGCGGGGGACTGGGGGGGTGGGGGGGTTGTTTGTTTTGTTTTGTTTTTGTCAAGTTTTTGCCATAGAACATGTGCACTTACTAGAAAGAGACAAAGAGGGAAAATAAAAAATCACTCCCAAGGTGGGATGACCATGCCACAACCCCTTCTCCTCCATTCTCCACTGGAGGCCAGCCAGTGATACGATGATTAAGGTTAAGGTGCTCAACTCGCACAGGGCCAACCCTAGTTGGAGTTCGCAACCTGGCGGCTCTTTCTTTTGCTGTCTCGGATGAGCACACGTGCCCTGTAGCAAATTTTAAAAATAATAATAATGATAAATGAAATTAAGTAATTCTTTTAAAAAGTTATTTTCACATACAAAAAGAAAAAATACAATAGATAACCTTGCATTCAGTGAACACCTTGCAATGGGATCCGTCCTCCAAACCCGCCTAAGAGACATTTCAATACAAATTGCGCTGCCGCTGTACAGCCACCAGGTGGGGACCAGGCACCCGTATCGCACTCCGGCGGCATCCCTCCGTTTCCAAGGCAGCTGGCAGGACAACCGGGAACGCGCACGTCCGGAGCCCGCGCACATTGCAGGCGCTGGGGCCGCGCACGTCGGACCGCCACAGTGACGGGGCCGCGGGTCAGCCCGGCTCGCTGGAGCCGGCCCTATGTGGAAGCTGCTCCCCGCGGCGGGCCCGGCCCGAGGTAAGGCGCAAGGGAGGCTTTGCGGGCCGGTTTTCCCGGGAGCGCTGTTGTGGGGAGAGGGTCTGTTGAGCGAGCTTCCGGTCCGTCCTGGCCCCTCTCGCCGTCTTCCGGCGCGGTCTCTGTTCCCGCCCGGGAACTGCGGGAGCCGGGTGTCTGCGGACCGGGCTGTGCGGTCCCCCGGGGCAGCGCGTGGATTTCCGGGCGGCTTTGGCAGGGGGCTGACTGCAGGCGTCCCTCACCCGTCTGCCGCCTGGCTCTCGGTGGCTGGGACCCGCTCCGGTCAGCTGGCCTGGGAAGTGGGCCTGGCCTCTTCCGTGTGGTGACATGTAGCCTGCACGGTGTCACCATGTGACTCAGTCTGCTGCTGATTTATTTTTGTGAAAAACCACGTGTTAACTTGGAAATGGCAGCCGCCG